GACATAAAACGTCATTAATTAGATGGAGAGTACACTGGGCAACCATGGGATAACACTCGTTCACCGGGGAATCGATATTATGCTCTGTAGCCACAACCTAGATGGCGCTGATCTTGATACGCCATCCACCAGAGGTCATCCACATCGACCTCTCTTTCTGACTAAGGCAGGAAACTGGAGGAGGGGGGGGGGGGTGCTTCCACCGATACAAGGCCACCACCAATAGATGGCGTTGTCTACATATCGTCCAATACTAGGGGAGTTGGAGTGCAGACCCATAGATGGCGCTGACATTGCCACTCCATACTCCGACGATGATGTCGATACTGTAACAGCCAGTCAGCTCCCACCCCCCCCCCTTCCCCCCCCACCGTCCCAAGCTAGAGTGTGTGTGTGTATTCACCTATTTGTACTCACCTATTTGTACCTGCAAGATCGAGCCTTGAATCTTGGATCCCACCTTTTGAGTCATCGGTTGTTTACAGCAATGACTCCTGTCCCATTTCCCTATCATATGTAGTTTTAAAATTATGAATAGAGTTTGCTTTCACAACCTGCTCTTTAAGTGCATTCCATTTTTCCACTATCACGCAAAATAAATAATTACTAACATCTCTATGACTCATCTGAGTTTCCAGCTTCCACCCATGTCCCCTCGTTCTGTTACTATTCCGTGTGAACATTTCGTCTATTTCCACTCTGTCAATCCCCCTGAGTATTTTATCTGTTCCTATCATATCCCCTCTCTTCTTTTTTGTAGTGTCGTAAGGCTCAGTTCCTTCAGGCGCTCTTCATACCCCATACCCTAGGCCCCACACACACACTACTGGGTGTGACTCCCAGTAGTTCACCACACCATGGGCGTGACCCGCAACATAACTAAAGAATAGTGTAAACAAGAATAGTGGTATTTAGTTATCCGGGGGAGGTGGTATCAACCTGCCCCTGGTATGTATCAGCCGAGTCTCAGAAACACTTGAGGGATCTCACAACTATTACATTACCCGTCAACCTCACTCCACAAAACCACAACCCTATTTACAAACCAGTTTTTACCCACTTCTTTCTCAACCTAAACTTATCCCATTTGTATTGTTTCGTGTTCTATTCTGTGTGGGCGTGTTGTAGCTGGGCCTCCTTTATGTAGGAGATAATGAAGTATATCTGGAGTATACCTGGAGTATACCTGGAGTATACCTGGAGTATACCTGGAGTATACCTGGAGTATACCTGGAGAGGTTTGTGGGGGTTGTGGTACCCACGCTGGGCCGGGAGCCAGACTTGTCATGTGATAACTTGGTCTAGTGGTGATTGCCAATATTATAACTGATTTGCCACCGTGACTTTATCTAACTTAAGTTTGGGAGGTCGGGGCCCAGCTGGGTTATATTGGTGTTGGAAATATTGTGCGAGGTTTGTGCTCCGTGGGTGTTGCAGGAGTGAGAGTCGTGTGTGTGTGTGTGTGGCGGTGATGGCTGCTACCTGTGTTCCTCTTGACTACACCCCGTGTTCCCTCGTCGGCTTGGTCAACACTCTTGTCGCTGACGATCTCTTCCTCTTATGGCTGTTAGAAGGAAGCACGTTGACAGGTCAATAAGCGTCAACATGGCCGCCAGGATTAGGGAAATGTGTACAGGTTTCCCCAAGATGTTCCATAATTGTTTGGTGATTGTTGAAGGAGCGTAGTGTTGCTGCCCGGTGTTGTGGGTGGTGGTGGTGGCTGTACTGGGCCCCCACACACACACACACCACCCACCACCCACTACCACAGTGGGTGGTGGTGGTGACTGTACTGGGCCCCCACACACACACACACACACCACCCACCACCCACTACCACAGTGGGTGGTGGTGGTGACTGTACTGGGCCCCCCCCACACACACACACACCACGGGCCCACCCACTACCACAGTGGGTGGTGGTGGTGACCGTACTGGGCCACACACACACCACCACCACCACCCACTACCACAGTGGGCGGTGGTGGTGACCGTACTGGGCCACACACACACCACCACCACCACCCACTACCACAGTGGGTGGTGGGTTGTGGTGGTGGGTGGTGGTGGTGACTGTACTGGGCCCCCACACACACACACACACACCACGGGCCCACCCACTACCACAGTGGGTGGTGGTGGTGACTGTACTGGGCCCCCCCCCCACACACACACACCACGGGCCCACCCACTACCACAGTGGGTGGTGGTGGTGACCGTACTGGGCCACACACACACCACCACCACCACCCACTACCACAGTGGGCGGTGGGTTGTGGTGGTGGGTGGTGGTGGTGGCTGTACTGGGCCCCCACACACACACACACACCACGGGCCCACCCACTACCACAGTGGGTGGTGGTGGTGACCGTACTGGGCCACACACACACCACCACCACCACCCACTACCACAGTGGGCGGTGGGTTGTGGTGGTGGGTGGTGGTGGTGACCGTACTGGACCGCACACACCACCACCCACTACCACAGTGGGCGGCACTTACCACCTTCACGGAGACAGTACAGTATATACTAAACAGCTTACGATCTCGGAAGCACTACGAGCTCACCCACAATAATATAAGGTCGAGGGCAACCTCGTAATTCTAACAATCTCGTAAACTGTTGAATGACTACCGATTACCTGGCCATGAGGACGCTAACAACCTGTCCTTTTAAAAAGAACGTTGCTTTTGGCCGTTTGCCCGTATGGCCGAATTTGGACGTAATTGAAAATGAAAAAAAATGAAAATAAATTTGGGATTTTTTTTCAACAACAGTAAGTTAAGAGTCCTCTCCTCAGGCCTCCACCCCCTCCATCACCGCCCGCTCCACAACCCGAACATTGCTCCGCGCCTGACAGCTGAGTGGACAGCGCTTCGGATTCGTAGTCCTGAGGTTCCGGGTTCTATCCCCGGTGGAGGCGGAGACAAATGGGCAAAGTGTTTCTTTCACCCCTGATGCACCTGTTACCTAGCAGTAAATAGGTACCTGGGAGTTAGTCAGCTGTCACGGGCTGCTTCCTGGGAGTGGAGGCCTGGTCGAGGACCGGGCCGCGGGGACACTAAGCCCCGAAATCATCTCAAGATAACGGTAGGGGAGACTAACGGCATCATTCCAGCCATGAGAGGGACCGAGGGAGAAGTAGTCGTCATTGCTACTCTGGGTATTGTGATCACCGTGAGCCCCGGTGCCGTCACCGTGGCACAAGGATCACTGGGCCAGTGGTGAGTGATGGGGGAAGCTGGTATGGGAAGGCTGCTCCTACGGGCAGGTCTTGGGGCGCTCCTACGGGCAGGTCTCGGGGCGCTCCTACGGGCAGGTCTTGGGGCGCTCCTAAGGGCAGGTCTCGGGGCGCTCCTACGGGCAGGTCTCGGGGCGCCCCACTAGCACCCTGGGGCTAGTAGGCTGCAGTAGTCGCCAGTGGTGGTCGTGGTCACTCCATCACTCCCCGTGCCTCCCACACAGCTTGTGCCACCACTCACCGGGGCCGCCAACAACACCACACTACAAAAAGGGAAAATATTATTACTGGAAAGGTGACGTGATTCACAGATGGCGCTGAGGGTCTTGACGGGTGTGTTAAGAAGAGACAAACAAGTCCTTGTGGCATCCAGCAGGCCGTCACTCATTGCCTCCCACAGTTCTTCCTGTCTCACCGCTTCCTGTCCCACACAGACTTCTTCATCTCAAATAGTTGACCTGATTTTAATGATTTCTTCTTGAGCGTGTATAATATTTTCCTCCAGAGGACGGTGAGGAACATTGTGGCAGGCACGGTAGAGGGCCAGCCTCTCCCTCGCCTCCTGTATGGCTCTCCGCCCTCATATAACATTGTGGGAGGCACGGTAGAGGGCCAGCCTCTCCCTCACCTCCTGTATGGCTCTCCGCCCTCATATAACATTGTGGGAGGCACGGTAGAGGGCCAGCCTCTCCCTCACCTCCTGTATGGCTCTCTCCGCCCTCATATAACATTGTGGGAGGCACGGTAGAGGGCCAGCCTCTCCCTCACCTCCTGTATGGCTCTCTCCGGCCTCATATAACATTGTGGGAGGCACGGTAGAGGGCCAGCCTCTCCCTCACCTCCTGTATGGCTCTCTCCGGCCTCATATAACATTGTGGGAGGCACGGTAGAGGGCCAGCCTCTCCCTCACCTCCTGTATGGCTCTCCGCCCTCATATAACATTGTGGGAGGCACGGTAGAGGGCCAGCCTCTCCCTCACCTCCTGTATGGCTCTCTCCGGCCTCATATAACATTGTGGGAGGCACGGTAGAGGGCCAGCCTCTCCCTCACCTCCTGTATGGCTCTCCGGCCTCATATAACATTGTGGGAGGCACGGTAGAGGGCCAGCCTCTCCCTCACCTCCTGTATGGCTCTCTCCGGCCTCATATTACATTGTGGGAGGCACGGTAGAGGGCCAGCCTCTCCCTCACCTCCTGTATGGCTCTCCGCCCTCATATAACATTGTGGGAGGCACGGTAGAGGGCCAGCCTCTCCCTCACCTCCTGTATGGCTCTCCGCCCTCATATAACATTGTGGGAGGCACGGTAGAGGGCCAGCCTCTCCCTCACCTCCTGTATGGCTCTCCGCCCTCATATAACATTGTGGGAGGCACGGTAGAGGGCCAGCCTCTCCCTCACCTCCTGTATGGCTCTCCGCCCTCATATAACATTGTGGGAGGCACGGTAGAGGGCCAGCCTCTCCCTCACCTCCTGTATGGCTCTCCGCCCTCATATAACATTGTGGGAGGCACGGTAGAGGGCCAGCCTCTCCCTCACCTCCTGTATGGCTCTCCGCCCTCATATAACATTGTGGGAGGCACGGTAGAGGGCCAGCCTCTCCCTCACCTCCTGTATGGCTCTCCGCCCTCATATAACATTGTGGGAGGCACGGTAGAGGGCCAGCCTCTCCCTCACCTCCTGTATGGCTCTCCGCCCTCATATAACTCTAACACCTTTGTCATATGATTTTCCTTCACTGAAACAATGTTTTTTTCCCCAGATGTTTGGCGCATATATTGAGAGGTGTGAGGAGAACCTGGCGGGGAATAATGGTGAGTGACACCGGGTTCTTGTTCACTGTTTTGTGACTAAGTCTTGTTATGTATATCAGTAGCGGAGAGTGTTGTGTGTGTGGCGGTACTTATCAGTAGTGACGCACTACTCTCCTCCGGTGAGTGACGGCTGCTACTGTCCTCCGGGGAGTGACGGCTGCTACTGTCCTCCGGTGAGTGACGTCTGCTACTGTCCTCCGGTGAGTGACGGCTGCTACTGTCCTCCGGGGAGTGACGTCTGCTACTGTCCTCCGGTGAGTGACGGCTGCTACTGTCCTCCGGGGAGTGACGGCTGCTACTGTCCTCCGGTGAGTGACGGCTGCTACTGTCCTCCGGGGAGTGACGGCTGCTACTGTCCTCCGGGGAGTGACGGCTGCTACTGTCCTCCGGTGAGTGACGGCTGCTACTGTCCTCCGGGGAGTGACGGCTGCTACTGTCCTCCGGTGAGTGACGTCTGCTACTGTCCTCCGGTGAGTGACGGCTGCTACTGTCCTCCGGGGAGTGACGTCTGCTACTGTCCTCCGGTGAGTGACGGCTGCTACTGTCCTCCGGGGAGTGACGGCTGCTACTGTCCTCCGGTGAGTGACGGCTGCTACTGTCCTCCGGGGAGTGACGGCTGCTACTGTCCTCCGGGGAGTGACGGCTGCTACTGTCCTCCGGTGAGTGACGGCTGCTACTGTCCTCCGGGGAGTGACGGCTGCTACTGTCCTCCGGTGAGTGACGTCTGCTACTGTCCTCCGGTGAGTGACGGCTGCTACTGTCCTCCGGGGAGTGACGGCTGCTACTGTCCTCCGGGGAGTGACGGCTGCTACTGTCCTCCGGTGAGTGACGTCTGCTACTGTCCTCCGGTGAGTGACGGCTGCTACTGTCCTCCGGGGAGTGACGGCTGCTACTGTCCTCCGGTGAGTGACGGCTGCTACTGTCCTCCGGGGAGTGACGGCTGCTACTGTCCTCCGGGGAGTGACGTCTGCTACTGTCCTCCGGGGAGTGACGGCTGCTACTGTCCTCCGGGGAGTGACGTCTGCTACTGTCCTCCGGGGAGTGACGTCTGCTACTGTCCTCCGGGGAGTGACGGCTGTTACTGTCCTCCGGGGAGTGACGGCTGCTACTGTCCTCCGGGGAGTGACGTCTGCTACTGTCCTCCGGGGAGTGACGTCTGCTACTGTCCTCCGGGGAGTGACGTCTGCTACTGTCCTCCGGGGAGTGACGGCTGTTACTGTCCTCCGGGGAGTGACGGCTGCTACTGTCCTCCGGGGAGTGACGTCTGCTACTGTCCTCCGGGGAGTGACGGCTGTTACTGTCCTCCGGGGAGTGACGGCTGCTACTGTCCTCCGGGGAGTGACGTCTGCTACTGTCCTCCGGGGAGTGACGTCTGCTACTGTCCTCCGGGGAGTGACGGCTGCTACTGTCCTCCGGTGAGTGACGTCTGCTACTGTCCTCCGGGGAGTGACGTCTGCTACTGTCCTCCGGGGAGTGACGTCTGCTACTGTCCTCCGGGGAGTGACGGCTGCTACTGTCCTCCGGGGAGTGACGTCTGCTACTGTCCTCCGGGGAGTGACGGCTGCTACTGTCCTCCGGTGAGTGACGTCTGCTACTCTCCTCCGGTGAGTGACGGCTGCTACTGTCCTCCGGGGAGTGACGGCTGCTACTGTCCTCCGGTGAGTGACGGCTGCTACTGTCCTCCGGGGAGTGACGTCTGCTACTGTCCTCCGGTGAGTGACGTCTGCTACTGTCCTCCGGGGAGTGACGGCTGCTACTGTCCTCCGGGGAGTGACGGCTGCTACTGTCCTCCGGGGAGTGACGGCTGCTACTGTCCTCCGGGGAGTGACGGCTGCTACTGTCCTCCGGGGAGTGACGGCTGCTACTGTCCTCCGGGGAGTGACGGCTGCTACTGTCCTCCGGGGAGTGACGTCTGCTACTGTCCTCCGGGGAGTGACGGCTGCTACTGTCCTCCGGGGAGTGACGGCTGCTACTGTCCTCCGGGGAGTGACGGCTGCTACTGTCCTCCGGGGAGTGACGGCTGCTACTGTCCTCCGGGGAGTGACGGCTGCTACTGTCCTCCGGGGAGTGACGGCTGCTACTTTATCACCCACCTCCTACCTTCTTCTACCTCTGCCAATATTATTTATTAATTATTCTCATGTTCAAATTCTTTGTCGAATCTTGCCTTAATGGTGTGGATGGAGGTGGCTTCCTTAACGTCTTCTCTCAGTACTCGCCTAGTTGTGCTTGTGGGGGTTGAGCTTTGGCTCTTTGGTCCCGCCTCTCAACCGTCAGTCAACTGGTGTACAGGTTCCTGTGCCAATTGGGCTCTATACTATCTAAATTGTATACCGCGTATGAAGTCAGCCTCCACCACTTCACTTACTAATGCATTCCATTTATTGTTAACTACTCTGACACTAAAAAATATTTTCTAATATTTTTTAGTGTCAAGTTAGTGTCAAAAAATATTTTTTCTAAAAGGACGAACTTTAACGCAGTCCGTCCTATCCAACGTTCATAATATCACAAACATGTACTAAATTACCCGAACCTAACCTAACAGAGGACCAACGAATAGAAAATAAGACATCACGTCCATTTTGCCAGCCGCTATGATTTTTAGTACATCAGTATATGGCCTTAGGGGGATTTATAGGTGTAAATGGCAGGTAGTGTTTGAGAGGACTGGTTGTGAGAGGAGGCCGGGTACAGGAGCCGCAACCCGACCTGGTGGCTGGTCCTCGTGCGACAGCGGCAAATAATCGGCTATTTTAGCGCTCTTACTGTGTTGACAGTCACCCTTCGCGCGCCTTTTCTTTAGAAGCATTTAACCACCGCATCATTTTAATATTTTACAATGATGTTAATTGTTGTTTATGTGTTAAAATAACAACAAATTGCAGTTACTGTTGGTGGAAAGGAATTCAACAACTGTAGGAAACTGGCGCCTGACAGCTGAGTGGACAGCGCTTCGGATTCGTAGTCCTGAGGTTCCGTGTTCGATCCCCGGTGGAGACGGAGACAAATGGGCAAAATGTTCCTTTCACCCTGACGCCCTTGTTACCTAGCAGTAAATAGGTACCTGGGAGTTAGATAGCTGCTACGGGTTGCTTCTTGGTGGAGGGGGGGGTAACAAAAATTAGGCCTCGTCGAGGACCGGGCCACGGGGACGCTAAGCCCCGAAATCATCTCAAGATAACCTCAAGAAGATCATTTTTTAAAGGATGTTTGTGCTCACACACCTATATATACTCACCTATTTTTGCCTGTAGGGTCGAGCTTCCGCTCTTGGACCGCACTTTACAGACGCCGGCTCCCCAAGTCAGTGACTCCAAACTTATAGTTATATGTAATGTATATTTAATATTATGAATGAGTTTCTTCATCATGCTCGTTTTCTTCCTTTCATTGTCCTACTACTATTTTGGTTAATTTTGTTGTGTACGACACACATGTTTGGTTACCTTCCGTCCATGCCGTCTTCTTCTCTCTTCTTCTCTTGGTATTCATTGTAAACATTTATTTTTTGGACAAATCCACAAGGGCCGTGACGAGGATTCGAACCTGCGTCCGGGAGCATCCTTGTGGATTTGTTCATTTGATGCATCACGTTAGTGTGATCTCTGTGTGTAATATCTTTTTTGTCCTGCACTCTTAATCCCTGCAAGTGTTTGATGTCTCCTCTCTCCTCTTTTCTAGCGACGTCTACCTCTCTCAGTCTTCGTGCCTCATTCCCTCGTAATTTTGGGACGATTCTCTATACAAACCATTGTAGTTTGTAAAGTTTTCTGTCCATTTTTAGGCGGACGGCTCCACAATGGGAACCGTCCCATTGTGACTGCATACTCTTAAGTCTGGTCTCGCGTAGGTGTACTGCAGTGGTCTTGTCTACTGTTCCCATCGTTTCCTGCTTCCATATTCATCACCTTACACTTGCTGGCGTTGAAATCCGGAAGCCATTTCTCGTATCAACTCTGCAGCTGCTCCATGGGAATGTGTGTGTGTGCGTGTGTTAGAAATATATGTAGTAGACATAATAGAGGAAAAATAGATTTGTTAGAAAGGCGGGGTCCAAGAGCTAATAGCTCGAGTCTGCATACACACAATAAATATATTTACAGAGTAAGGTAGACGGTTGGAACAAGTTAAGTGAGAAGGTGGTGGAGGCCAAGACCGTCAGTAGTTTCAAAGCGTTATCTGACAAAGAGTGCTGGGAAGACGGGACACCACGAGCGTAGCTCAATAAGCATAGAATGTTTGGTAATATGATTATTGTTTGAAATAAATATATTATATATATATATATATATATATATATATATATATATATATATATATATATATATATATATATATATATATATATATATATATATATATATACTCTGAACAGGGTGAGAATAGCTTGAGCTGCCTCATCCTTTTGTGTACATTTATACCTCAATAAACTTGTTCCAATTCCAAAATCTTTGGCTTCATTCCATTCACTTGAATCATCAGTGATTTTATATCAAATTAACTATCCTGGCCACAATTTTTATGATTTCTTCAAGTGTCTTAAGCTGTATGTGCCAGTTTTGACACATACAACTTCCTCGTGTACAATACAGTACCGCAAACCTTTCAGCAGATGTTGGCCATATTGTATGTAACCACATTTACACTAACTGCTTCTTTACCGACCATGCTGGGTGGCGCACCAGCTGTTGTCACGGAAACTGTCTTTGAAAGATCAACCTGTCAATTAGACAACTCTTTTTACTACTGCCTTGCATATGTCAGCCCCTGTGGTATGTCCAGGGGCCAGATTCACGAAAGCACTTAGGCAAGCACTTATGAACCTTACATCTTTTCTCAATCTTTGGCGGCTTTGTTTCCAATTATTAAACAGTTTACAAGCATGAAAACTTGCCAATCAACTGTTGTTATTGTTATAAACAGCCTCCTGGTGCTTCGGAGCTCATTAACTGTTTAATAATTGGAAACAAAGCCACCAAAGATTGAGAAAAGATGTA